TTTAGTGGGCATGGATGATGGTCGGACTCAATGATCTTGAAGGTCTTTTCCAACCTAAATGATTCTATGATTCTAAGCTAGGGAAACTATCGCTGAATATATTAGTGCTAAACTCCTAAACACCTAAAGCCAAGAGTTATATGGACATCTCAAAATTACTTCTGAGTATCTTCACTGGAACTTTTAAAAGTTAAATATCAGAAAAATCTGCCAGATACAAGAGTGCACTTAAATCGCAACCTGGAATTCAACTGACATGCAACTGTCAATACTGAAAGACTTTGACCAAACTTCAATGACTGTAACTGTAAGGACCCTTTCCCCACTTCGTAACTTTATAAAACAAACAAAAACCCTATGTAATAACAATAAGGTTTTGATTTCAGCTTTTACTACAAAATGGAAATGTTAAGCAACATAGCAAGATAATCATAATCATTCTTAATATTCATTAAAAAGAAACCAGAGGGACCTAGAACAAAAAATTCCTTAGCTGTGTTGCCAAAAAAGTCAGCTATTAACCAATAACTACATGTTCCTACATGCCAGATCTGCACAGCATGGAGGCATATTTGCTACGTGTGTTTAGCAGTCGTTTCTCACATTCAAACACTCATTATATTCAAATCCTGACTTCACCTCATGAAGTAGAAATAATGTCACATTCACACTTTAAACAGATATTAAACAGCAGATTCTGTCAAGTTTATGCAATTTGTGTGCATGTCATGCAAAAAAAGGACAGTAAGACCACTTTGTCTAATCTTCTGTTTAAGTCAACTACTGAGCATGCAAAATGAAAAAACTATTAAAAATACTTTTCTCCCCCCCCCCCCCCCCAAATTACTTGTCCTTCATTACATACGTTCTTCAAAAACTGTGAGGAATCTCAAATTAGTCCCATTTCAATTACGTTTTGGAAAAAAGGATTTCTAAGAATCAATTATACTATTCTTATACTAATTATAATAATTACATTTCAGGATAACGAAATATGTCAACACTTTCTTCTTGTTACATACACACGCACGAGAAGTATGACAGTGACTACTTAATTTTCTGAAAAGGAGAGAAAAAGGCTAGAGTTTTATCATTGGTGGGTAGTTCTGCCACAGGTTAGTAAAGATCAGAATCACAACTACATAGAATAAACTCAGAATTTTATACATTTAATCAATTAAATTAATTATATTCCCATTTAGACATGAGAAAAAATAAAGCAGGGTTCCAAAAAAAAAAAAAAAAAGCTGTGAAAGTTTTTGACATAAATAGTAAAAGCATTAACACACCCCCCCCCCCCAAAAAAAAGGAAAGTTACCTCAGAAACAGGTACATTTTCTCCAAGTTCAGATGTGTGTAATGCCAGTAAACCAATCACTCGAGCAACTTTGGCACGTCTGCATATCAAATAAATTTTTTGTAGGTGCAGAAAAAATATTTCAAATATATCACAAAACCAATTGTGTCTTGTTCATATTCTACAAAGATCGCTAAGGCCAGGAAATATTTGAAGTGCTATTTATAGCTCAGATTTTCTTCTTATTTCTATTTTCTTTGTATCATCAAATTATTTCAGTATTTCAGCTCAATTTAGCAATAAATTCATGCATAAAGACATTTCTTTCCATTAGCACTGGAGAATGAAGATTCTTTAGTTTGTTATAGTCTCACTAATGTCATGCTCATATTCAGTTTTCTTATAACACAGAAAACCCCTATAGATCACTTTACACTTTTCAGTATAGCTGACAAAACACAAATTAAATCTGTATCAGCAAATCAGTTTTAAATGTTTCAATAAAGAAAAAAATGGAATAATAAAATCAACATTTATGAAACAGACAGCAGAGGGCACTATCACATGGAAATATTTGACAGGCATTTAAAAAAGCTACCATTATAGCTATTTTACTACTATTTATACTATTATGGTATGGGTTGGTTTACAGTGATTTTAAGCAACATGATTTGATACACTAAATTGTTTAAATTCTAGATAAAATTTTAGAGATTTTCCATAATCTTTGGCCCTGTAGAATAGCAATATATTCATTAAATGCTTAAAAAATTCAATGTTATATACACCATCATACTGTCAGTCAGGTACCACAGCAGTCTGAGATGCTAAAACACTTCTCAAATACCCTGTTAAATAATATCTTTAATAAAATTCAGTGGTAATTCCATACCTGAACAAATTAATTTAAAACAATTGTTACTTACATATCCCAGTTGGCGGCTGCACGCAGCTGCTGTATCAATATAGGAAACTATAGTTTAAAGAAGATAAATAAACATTAGTGAATTTCAGTGATCTGATATGTCCCAATGATAAACAAAATCATCAAAATATCAGCAATTTCATAAATATGTATTTGGATAACATTTGCAAAAAGTATTATAGACAACTACTGTAGATATTGTCCAAACACTGATTAAAAAAAAAAAGGCTGAGAGTAAAAATACAATTTCTTTCTATATTCGTGCCTTAAACTAAACTGCTAAACATATATCAGTGTGTTAAAAAAACAAAACACTTTTTTTGTTACGAATAACGCTATGCAGAGGAAAAAAACTCTGATTTTTTCATCTAAAAATACAGAGATCATCATACAGGATTAACCAACAAGTATTTAATAAATTAAATTTATTTTGTGAGAATGAACAAAAATAGTTGGCAAATACTAGAATAATGAATGGACTGTTAACACACATAATCAGCCACTTAAGAACCAAACTACATAATTACTACCTCATTTCTAAAGTGTTCTGTTAATTGGCCAGTCACTGGATTATTGTCCCCCAAGTTCTCCAGTGATAATGGAATACACCTTCCAGCAATTCTGTTTCCTGTTTTCACAGGAATTCTATGGCATAAGACATATCATTGCTTCCAATCTGAATGTTCATGATGAGTTTTTCTGGCAGTGCAATTTTGTCTTTAATATCTCTATACCCAACAATGACATGTGTCAGAATATGACTTAGGTGCATTAGCATAATTGTAGGAGGACACGGTAGTTTACTTTTTATTAAATAAACTGAAAAGTGCACATCTCAGGATAGCCTCTGTGATGCTTTTACATAATGGGAAAAATAAGTCTCTTTCTCTTCTGCACATGCAATACCCTGAGAAATATGTTAAACCACCGCAGAGGATACCAGTAAAATTGTTTGTCTGGTAGAAAATTATTCTTGAAAGGTGAAAACACCATTCAGGTATACACTAGAACAGACTCTTCAGAGAGCACTCTCACTCTTGCAAGCAATGCTTAATCAAAGTTTTACTGCATGTTCTTTAGAAAGTTTTTCTTCCTATTCTTTACAGACATATGGCCAAATAAAATTGATCTAAGAGATCTAACAATTCAAACATGAACTTTTTTTGAGTCTTCTCTATCACTTAATGAGTTATGAAGACTAAAATTTCATTATGTTATTTCACGTTCTCCATCAAGCTTAGTTTTTACCCCAACCTTTTTACTAATACAACAAATCTATATGTAAATGTATATGAAATCTAAGAGAAATAATTAGTTTCCCTCAGCTCTTTTAAAAAAACGGACATAGAACTTAGTAATTTTTTTCATTATTTTGCACTTAATTTGCTATATTATTTTTGCCAGTACACAATGATTTCTTGAAATATAACTAAAAGCAGCTGATTTTTGCTACAATGGCAAGTATGTAAACCATGTTGATTCCTTCAAAGCTTTATTATTTACCAGCTGAGAGCTAATTAGCCTGCTTGCATTTTCCTTGTGGACAGCCACAGTAGACAGATAGTACAGTAAGTTCAGTTTAGAACGTGCTGCTCCTGTATTCTTCTCGGTGGAATCAAGCAGTGAACATACTCGTTGCAAGAAGTCATTCCAGTCCATGTCTTTCATAGATGATAGCTTCTCAGCTAACCGTAAGAAGCAAACAAGTAATTAAAGATAATGGATCTTTGATGTTGCTTTAACACACTAGAAAGTAACATCAACATGAATAAGTTCCAAAGTTTGAATCTAATTTTAGTATTTAAAATATGAAACAAACATGTTATAATTCATGTCAATATTATAGAAATCAAAAAAGAAGTAAGAGAAACAAAGCATAAAAATGTAGCAATAAAAGCATCAAAACATTTTTGAACGTGCAACCCTGCTAAGTCCTTGGACTTCATTTAAGTAAACATTTACTGGCAGTATATTTAGGAAAGGTAGTAGTTGTTGTTGTCCTTAATCTTTATTAATACTTAATAAAAAAAGTACAGTTTTCATTAGAGTAAATTTGAGGCAAAACCTAATGAAATTCAGTGAAATCTCAGAATAAACTGAAAATGTGTATAGTTATTCATGTAGGTAGGTATCCATCTAGTGGAGCCTTAGTAGTCTCAAAACATAGATGAGTTCAGAAGCAACACAAATAAGTCACTAGGACAATTAACATAAATTCAATTCATTGACCACTGTACATGAATAGAGATTTTTCAAAGACTTTCTTATCTGTCTCAGTGGATAAGTGCACTCTAGCAGCCACACATTCCCTCTGTTTCTGTTAGTTATTAATAACTTATCTGCCATCCTGATACACTCCAGTACAGAATACTTAAGAGCATGTCTTCTGTCTTTTACTCCAATTTTACACTTAAGTAACAACATCTACTAATGAAAACAATTATAATTGACATTAGTAAAGGTGAAAAGAGGTTTGGATTTCAGGTATTTATCTTAATTTTTCCACACTGTCTTTAATCATTATTGATGAGCGGCATCAAATTCAGTATCTTCAAAAACAATCAGAAAGTTGTCTAGAAAAAAGCTATACCCTGGAAGTGTTATAACCACAAAAAACACTGTCCCATATTAAATAAATACTGACAACAATAGTTAAACATGTCAGAACATCAATGTGATAATTTAGCTATTTAAATGCAATATGAAATAAAATACCAACCCCTTAGGCACTTGAATCTGATCATTTTTGCCTAGGATGTTAGCCAAATAAAAAATATTTTCTGTTGCTACAATCTTCATTGGGAGACTGTGTTTCTTTCCAACTATAAAATTTCTTCAACAAATTAACTCTCAAAAATACAAACTTTATAGAAAGAAAAAAGGAACTTTTATGTCTAGGAAGAAGTGCTACATGAATTCTAGAAGGCCTACATATCTGGCTGACATCTCTCTTCAAGCACAGTAAAGTGTAATAATACTTCCTTAAATAGAGTAGAGGAAATTTGCCAGGGGAAGAAACATTACACTCATGACAATGAGCAGCCTTTTGTTTGCAGAAATAACAGCAGCATTTCTAGACAATAAAAACTAACAACAAAAAAACAAACCCCAAACAACTCCACACTATCTTTTGGGACATGATTCCCATAACATTTCATGATTAAAGGTGGGACTAGCAAGGCTGCCTAGTTTTACAGCTGATCAACACTGCACATTTTAAGATGCTGTTTTCATTTGCCTCTCTACTTTTGTCACATTTTAATGTATTTGGCTGAATATTTCAGTTAAAGTATCCCAGTTGTTTACAAAAAAACCCCACAAGTAAAAATATGCTAATTTTCACACACTAAAACAGTGTTGACTGTCTCATTTTAAAAGCTTTTGAGCATGGGCTTTTAAGTGAAGAACGGAGAAGAGAAAGGAAGAGCATATAACTTAGCACTTGAAAAGTCTACTCAAAATTGGTCTACCTAATAACATTACATGTGCAACTTCAGTTTCATAAAAGTTAAGAGTTCTGCAACTGTGACAGGTCATCATCTACAAAGAGAGGCTACAGGTCTTGTGATAGCAACTTACACCATCATATGCACAACTTAAGTTTTAGCAACTTCAGCAGATCCATACCTGAATATGTTGGTATATGTAAAGTTTTCAAGTCCAGTCTAACTGGTACTTGCTTCATTATCTGGAAAAATAAACAAATACATTACAACTAGTTTTAATACATTTCTGGAAATCTCTAAGTAGTTGAACAGGAAAACACAAAGATGCAAAAATTGTACAGGATGGGTGTACAAAACACTGTTCATTACTGAAGCATTTTCCACAGTTTTCTGGTATGTATTTCTTCCAAGCAGATATTTGTGATAACTCTATGTTTTTAATATAATTAAACTGTTAATATTTCCATAATTTTTTTTCATGGGAATACAAAATGATAGGATTTTTTCAGTTTACATTTTTATCTTGCTTGTATGCAGAAAAATACTTTCATTTGAGCTTCAAAAGCTACAGAAAGGAACTATGCAGCTGAAAGCTCATGAAATATTTTAGTAATTCATTGCCATACAGTAAATACATATATATACACATTAGATGATTCTAGAATGTAAAAAGTCATATTATCACCAACTAATCATTCATAAAGTATGGGGTTTTTTCCCCACAACACATCATTTTCTGGTACATTGTGAAACTGGATGACTGCTAGGTGATTTTCAGTAACTAAGGCATACAAAGAAGGTAACTGCATACTGGAATTTAGCCTTTGACAGATGAAGCCTGGGTGTAACTAGAGAGCTATTTTCTAAAAAAGGTCTTCAATTCCAGAGATCTGCAGAACACAGGGAAATTTTTCAATATAAGCTGACATTTGAGCTTTTAAAATTCTGCCAGCATATAGTAAATCCCCTTCCAGGAGATTGAATTGCAAGTGCTTCAGCTTTACCAGGTGTCAGTATCATCCTTTAGTCTGAAGATCACCAAGTATGCAGTGACTCTGATTACATGTCCCTGGAATTTAGTGGGCTATTTTGCATTAATTCTGAGTCTGGCATTGCATGGTGAAGAGATTAGTCTCCATGTGCACATTAGTATGTACACTTCCCCCAATCTCATCTCTTATACTTGTAGTAAGAAGAGAAGCAGTAAAGGGCTAAGGCTTTGTGTTGAGTCCTGAGACAGAACTAAGAATTTACAGAGGTGGCATTCAAATGCATAATGACCTTTGAAATTCTCCACTGGCAACAATGTCCCCCAGCCCAAACACATTAAAAGAGTATTGGTGGGTAGTTACTTTATCTAGCTGTACAAGATTTTTAAATTTTGAGAGTGTTAACAATTCCATTAAAACAACCAAAAAAAAAAAGTTATACAAAAGCAATACAGCAACTAAAAGCTGTAAGATGCTCTTAATGAGCTAGATGCTCATTTCCAATGAAAAATGTTGCATTCCCTGCATCCACCACTTACTGAGTAAAGCTGCTAAAATGACGACCTTTTTTTCCCCACAGAAATAAAAGGAAGACTAAAAGGGGCTCTTGCCTATCATTCCTTCTACCAATACTACACGTGCCCATACATGCACATTACACTGTCATTGCAGTGCAGAGCTCTGATTCTATTTTGGTCTTCCTTTTGCTGTCAAGCAAGTGTCAGTCTCTGTTCAAGAGACTCATCGCAAACTGCTATCACACTAGAATCCCTATGACAGAAATTGGATGGACATTTCTTGTAACTTCTGGTTGTCTTTTCCAGAGAAAATAAGTTCATATTTATTAGAAACATTAACACATCTAAAGTTTAAAGAGCAACAAAAGTTATTCTGTAAAGGTCTAACTCCTAATCTAGAAGGCTTCATAGATGGCCATGTTCTGAGTATACCAAAACACAGTTTTGTGTTCATTTAAGTAACAGATAAACTGATTTATCAGAAAACAAATCTACAAAAGCACTGAACACAGCATTTAGTAGCTTCTATTTCTTGTAAGACATTATTTAATATTAGTATTCACTCCCAAAATAAATTCTTGAAATTAGCAACACAAAAGGATTATAAAAGACTGCCAAAAAATTGCATGGAGAGCTTGCCAGATGACTGGGTGGAACTGCTTTAAAATGAGAATTATAAAATACAGGAAAGGAGTTTCAGCCTGATTAAAGATATATGTGCAAAAATAGCCTCACCCACAAGGTCCTGAATTTTGTATTTTATTTTGCTGTACCTTTGGATTATCAATGATTGGTGTTATGATAAGATCAGACTCAGTGTAAATGAGCTCTTTCAATGTTGACTCCATATCCTGCTGACTTGAGCACATATTTTTAGCCTAGAATAAGAACAAAGTTTTTTTATAAACTGTTTTGCACAAAAAAAAAAAAAAAAGAAAGTTTATGGTTACTCCCCAAATATTTCATTTAAACATTATATCACACAGTTTGGCCACCTAAACAACATATTCTACATTACTTTTTATTTATGTAGTAGCAGATAGGGCCAACTAAAAATTATGATAAAGAAACATGTTGGAAGAAAATGCATCAGGTCTAAAAAGTAGAGTGAGAAGAAAGAAGATTGCTTTATCCCTTTTATACACTGGAAAAAAAAAGGAGACTAGGCATCTTTCTTAACTCTTACATCTGCAGTTCTGCAAGTAATTTTTTTCAAATAACTTGCACACTGTAAGAACTGCTTTCCTGTTATCATTATGGAAGGATGGAGAAGAAAGTTGATTTTGTCACAGACTTCAGACTGAAATTCTAACTCTAAAGATACCACCATCCCTTAATATTATTTTTCTACTCACCTTTTCAAAGCATGAATCTCTTTGTGGAGAATTTTGGATTGGGGCAGTAGTAGAATCACTTACTTCTACTGCAGTACTAGTTCTAGGTGTGGGACGAGAACTTAAACAAAAAAAAAAAAAACCAAACAAAGACTACGGATTAAGTTTCACTGTAAACTACTTTGTTGTTGCTCTTTTGAAACTTTCATGCCATACGGTAAACTTTCAAAGCTGACAAACACAAATGATGCTATGCCTTATCCATCAACTAAAAATGAACTTCCTGTCTTTAAATATGTCCTGACAAGGTTAGGACTTGTTTCTCAGTTAGAAATAGGAAGGACTGGTTTGTTTCTTTTTTTGTTGTTGTTGTTGTTTAATCAATGTAATTTGATTATTTTCTCACCCACAGTCACTCTCCAAATTGGATGCTAAACCATGATTATCTTAATTCCTAATAACAAACAACATACCAAGACAATTAACTTGACAAGAAAATTGCAATTTATTTTATGTTATTCTCTTCTGACTGCCAACTCTTGGCTAGGTAATGAGAATAAAAAACTGCCTAATTCTCATGTATGAATGTGAACTGGGTTTACTTTTCAGTTTTTCTTTTTAAAAGTCCTGTCTGCTAATTAGAAAATGAAGAAAGGAGAGACCAGAACAGTGCAGATTTGCAAGTTTCATAAGGCTGCTAGTGAACTTGATTTTTGTAGTATACATTAATTTAATTTAAAGCATTTAAAATCAACTTTAGAATTATTAAAATTGGCAGGCCAGGAAACGAATTTAATCAACAACTTAAAATGAATGCGTTTTCTTGATTAGCAGAAAGTAATATACATATTTAGTTGCAAATCAGTTTTATTTATTAGAAAAAGGAAGTAAACTAAAAATACAAACACCAAACAAAGTTAAAGATACTCATGCAAATCAATGATCAAATAACCAACATAGTTATTAACAAAATAAGGATAAGAATGAGAATGAGGCATCTTTTATCTATTTTCAACAGAAATTCAAATTTAAAGGGCACAATGAAGGAGTGCCGAAATATTATCTACTAGCTAGATAAAACTACATAAAATATCCCAATTCTTATGGTAAAAAAAGTATCAGGATCTGCTTGGAAGTTTCAGCACTCTTATTTCCTAAACCAAAAAAAGTATGATTTCTAGCTAGGAGGCTGAACAAATTATTCTAGGTTCCCACATGCTTCAAAACATGTAGATTTGTTAAATATTTTTTTTTCCCCAAACATAATTTGCTTTCATATACGTTTTAGATACAGAAAATCTTTCCTACTTTTCCAGTTCTCAGCTGGTTTCTCAGTTTAAAACAAGACAAGTCATTGCTGAATTGAACTAGTTGAAATGAATAAAATCTATTCCCTTTGCACATGTAGAAGAAGCTACTGCTGTTAAAAGCTGATTAACCACTCCAGCAGCTAAGTAAACTCTGGTGCTAAGAGCCAGGTCAGCAGCTTCCTTTCACTTCAGTGTTTTAAGACTTTAGTAGGTAACACATGCTCCTTTGAGAAGCTAAACCATTGAAGCAAAGAGAATTTCAGAAAATAATTTTTTTTAATTCATTGTATTACATTTCAAATTTTGTATTAAAATAAATTTACTTATCAGAAATAAAGTACGTTTTGTTAAAAATACATTTTTTTTTTCTACTCTCATTCCTGACATAATTTTGATTACATGTTGTTATACTAAGGGTTTGTAATGCCATTTTATCCTTTCTTTTCAGCAGATTCCTAGAGCAAATAACAAATGCTATTTTAAGTTACTAATAGTATAGGTTTAGATGTAACAATAGAAGTTATAAGCAAGATGAGAAGTAATACTTTATTAAAACCAACTGAAATAACTGGAAAAGTAGACACAATATCACGTACAAAAGCCCTATTTCAGGTTATGCAAGAAGCTTGAAAGAGTATTTAATCTCAAACTGGAATATTTCTGCTTGATGACAATAAGAACAGTATCTATTTTACTAGGTAATCTTGGCTTGAAAGCTAGTAAAAACTTTCAGCATCAGGCCTCAGCTAAAACAAATCACTGTTAAACAAATCACCGTTTTTTATTTAATACTAGATTGTTACGAATAGTTTGTGACGAAAAGCTGCAGGCAGAATTTATTAGTGGATCTTAAGCTGAATGCTTATTCTTGTGTATTTAAAGTAAGCATAGTCAAAGCATATTCTCATATATATGAAGTAAGAAGGAAATAAAGTTCTAAATAAACTCTTCTGTTTAGACAGACAGCTAAGAAATCAAAAGTCTACTTCCAAAAAACAGTGTAATAAAGCCGTAAAAGCATTGCTTTAACTACGCACACTGCTTTTGCAGCTCTTCAAAGGTATCTTAATGTTAATTAAACTGGTGATAGAAAATTCAAAATAGACACACTAACAAAAATGCTACAAACAGAATAATAAAATGTCTGAAGAGACCCAGGTAGGGGTGGGAGAGAGCCAAACCAAAAACATACAGGGTTTTCTAATTGTTCTGGAGGTTTTCATACCTGAGAAGAAATATGGATTCATTTGATTCACCATCAACTGCACTTTTGGGGCGCAATTCAGCCTGAGTTTCTACTGAAAAGAGAACATGAACTTGCATTGAAGTTAAAAACAAATAAAACATAGGGAATAAACATGTTGGTAAAACTGACGAAATTCACAGGACACAAAATAATTCAAAATAACAAAATGAACAACATTACCTATTTTGAAAGAATTGCTTGGTAGCTTATAGTCTTCCCTTGAGGATGACAGGTTATCTAAATTTTTACGAGTATCCACTGGCTCTTTGGCACTCCAAGACACTGATGACTCTGTGTCTTCACTACTGTTTAATAAAAGATATTAATTACACAGATTAAAAAAAAAAAGAGGGATCATATCCATTGTTTGTTGCATTATTAGCATACAATTTAGCTGTCATTCTCTAGAACAGCATACTATTGTAATATGTTACACATACTTTTTATATTAGTAATGGCAATGATGAAAAATAAGTTTACAGCAAATAACTTGGAGAATATTAAAAATTCTCTAGCTCCCTCAGTAAAACTTTCATGAAAGAAATTTAAAAAGTTAAATTATTACCCCATAATACCAGAGCTATTAAAAAAAAAAAATTTAAAAGCTTTAGAGACCATTCAGACTTCACAGGAAAAAGTCACAAACCTACTTCTAATAACAAAGTCTGTAGCCTAGATTAAGATCAATAAAAACTACTTTTTTTTTTCCCTAATGATTTACATGTCACATTTAATTGCACGTTTATTGATTATGGTTGTTTGGGTTTTTTTAATATACCCGTCTATTATTCGCATGGAACTGGGTCATATAACCTTCCTGAAGGCTCTCCAGGATATCAAATATTAATCAAACCCACATTGTGAAGAAAATAGATACATGGGCCTCACAGTTGGAAAAGTATTGAGCCTCTTCTGCACGTCAAACCAATGTCCTATGTTTGTCATATTCGTCAATTAGCTCATACCTCAGTGGATATTTCAGACACATTAGAAAAACCCTCAAGAGTAAGGTCAAATAGCCCAATATTTTGTAGGAGATTAAAATTCTTCTGATTCTCTGACAATTCCTCAAAGATGAGCACTGTGGTACAGGCTGACATAAGTCTTGCTAAAACCTTGAATAAATTCTTACTTTGTGGTATAAACTTTAAATCTTGATTTCTTATCTGCCTTGGTGGTGAAAGCAGTAATCAAAAGACAAAGAGCTGTATCTCAAACTAGAATAAATGTTAATAACAAAAATACTGCAGCACTGGTATCAGAAATGGGTATTAAACAACACAAGAGAGAACTTTGAAATACATAGAACACAAAAACATACAGCATTCTAAAAGAAAACTATTTTCACATTAGTTCCCTAGATTGGAACCTAAAGTATCTTTCAGGTATTTAGAACAACAGAACAAAAAAATCAACACTAAATATCCTAATTCAAAATTAAAACCAAAAAAACCAGCAAGATAACAGGAGTTTTGAAGAAGCCTAACTTTTTAATACATAGAACCCATTTTCACAAAATGCTTGGGGTTTCTGCATATATAGCAGTGTAGAGTATTACAAATTCAGAAAAAAAATCCATTAGATTAATGCTTTATGTCATAAGCAAAGAATATGGGTCAGCTGCATTTGCAACGATATAAGGCTGAACCACAAATCTAAGATGCTGTACTTATAGGCTTTGTGATGCTCTAAGCCTCATGCATAAAAACAAACAAAAAACTCACTAAAGATAAAACTGACCCATATTTAGAAGATTCTACAAAAGCTTTAAAAAAAAATAAAGCAAATTACTGTGCATCATTGTTATATAAACAAATAAATAAAAAAAGAGAGCAGTTAATTCAGAAGTAAATTTTAACACATTCTATAGTCAGGAGGAAGGAGTCTATTGAAAGTGAACAGACAGTGTAATACACTAACAGACTAATGCAATTCCTAAGCATCCAAAACTGTTCACTGAATGGTGTAAAACTCCATTCGTCAACTAGTTAACAACGTGAAAATCCTAAGCAAAATTAAAAAATGAGAAAATTCACAGAAAACCTTTTTTTTTTTTTCCTTATATTCACAATGAAAAAAGTCTTCCTTAAACATGCAGTACCTTGACCTTGTGCCCTGGCTGTCTGCAGAATCACCACCACAATGGCTAAGGGATCCTTTCCAGAATGGGTGCTGCAACAGGTCTGTCCAATTCAGCCTTTTGAAAAGCAACAAACAAACTGAAAAAGCAGTGGCAAAGTACAGCTCCACAGAGAGATACCAGACTAGGTTTTGAACCCAGTGACACTACAGAGCAATTGATCCTGTTGTTCACTTTTATTTGGTCAACAAATAAGTTTTCTTACAGGACAAACTTTTTGCCTCAAATCAGAATGGATAATTCACACAACACAGAGGTATGAGACTAAGAACAAAGGAAACTGCATAGCCAATCCCAACACGTAAATTATCTGAGCTACCCTATAAATGATAACCTTATGTTATTTAACAATATAACTATATCAGCATAAATCAAAACCTCAGAAAATACATGTGCCCATTGCTCTGGAAAAGCAAAGCCATCCAATTTTAAAACTGCCCATCATTTCTGTTACAAAGTTATCTATTTAGTACCAGCTACAAAAATACAATGATATACTTAATCAAAACTTTAATTCTGTATATCTTCAGAGAAGAAAAAGCACAATTTCTCTTTTATACTAGGGATTAAATGATTTTTTGCATTCTTTGTCATCTACAAAATAATATACATACAGTATCATAGCAATTATTTCTCCAGAAGTGAAAAGAGACAATGCAAACAACAATCACGCATTAGACAGTTTACCTTTTCTGAGGATCTTTTTGAAGCAACCCATCAAGCAAACTCATGAACTCAGCAGAAGGTTTCTGAAAAGCAGAACCTGAAAATAGAAGCACTTGAGAAGTACTGGGCAGCAAAAACAACCATCACACAGTGTAGATCAAACCTTTATCTACAGAACACGCTAAAAAGTTTTCTTTAATAGTAATTTCATCTGAAAAAATCTGAACGTACGAAGAATCTTAAATATATACTCCTTGCATTTCAAAGGATCCTCAAAAAAAACCCCCAAACAAACCACCAATGCTCAGTCACCAAACAAATTAAAATTGTTTATATGTTAAAAAAGTACCCTCCAATTATCATACAGCTATTAGCAAGAATGAAATGGAGTTGAAATTTCCCACAACCATGATAATTTTAAAGGGAACATTGTTGCACCCCATTATACAAAAGAAGTTTCCAAAATTCTTATTTAACTGAGACACTAATTCTGAGAGCTTAGAACTATGAAATGGACTTTATCCACTTTGAAAACAAAACCTCTCTTAGAATTGAGCAAGTAACAACAGTTTTAATTCTACAGGTCACCATTTTCACTACATTACTCTGAACTGAAAAAAGCCACTAATATTTAAGAGTCTCTATGAATACCACTGATGCCCAGAATGACTGAGATCAAAAATTCCATCCTAGGAGGTAGATCTAATTCTTAATACTAAATGATATGCCTGTCTGTCAAAAGGGAAATAAGCGTTCATCATTAACGGGGGAAAAGTTCTTATCAGAGGAAGCCAATGATACATTCACTTCGGACAACTAACCAATTCCTGCAATAAGACTCAGAAGAAATAGTGCAAAACAAAACTTTAACTTCTTAAGTATTACTCTGATTTGATTCATTAAACAATAAGAGAATGTTACCCTGTGGTCTAGGTGGCAATGGATCTTCATATAAAATCTTTTCAATTAATTCAGAAAAGCTATCTGAGAAGAATGGTGGTCTTCCTACAAGCAAACAGAAGTATATTTCACAGATTAGGCAAACTTCAAAACAGCTGTCAGGTGCAATGATATTTGATGAGCTCATTTTCCTAAGGAAACATCCAAAGAAATAAACACCCTCAGCGTGAATTCTATTTATCAAGTTCTCTTGTCAATTTAAATACAAAACTTTGGATTAAATTCTTCTATCATGAACAGCAAAAGAGACCATGGACAGAAGAGGCACCAAAGATGGCTTCGTGGAGGTCACCATGATAACCCTGTATGAATCAATAATGAGACAACAACAGGAGGTGGTCTAGACAGAAATCTCAATATCTATGTAACTATGTTGATCCAACAGATCAGCATACTATTTAAGACTTCAGAAGGTTGCACTGTAATTCTCATTTGTGATTAAATCTTCCTTCCAGCTACAGCCAATGCTAACAGGTACTTTATCTGCAGGAAACCCAATGACTCTGGTTTTATACTAGTAAAACTGTTTTCTCTTTCAAAGGTCAACACAATGCACCCAGAGTTTAATACTGAGGAGATTAAAAACATTACATTGTCAGAATTCGAGGACTGCTATAATTTTAAATCACAGTATTTAAACAATAACAGTTGGCTAGTATCACAATATTTAGATCACACTCAAAAGGACAATTTAGCAGTATTACTTCACTTGATTATTTGATAAAAACCTTTATCTTTAAAAAAAGTACAGTTAGTATATTCTTCAAGAAATCTTTAAAACCTGTCTTAAGTTTTTCTGTCTTAACTTCCCTAGAAAGTTAACAAGAGTTTACTCTGGGACCACAACCTATGTTTCCATTATCACAGATATTAAATAGATACACAAACTTACAACCTGAGAACATTTCATAAAGTAAACATCCCAAGGACCACAGATCACTGCCTTTGGAGAAGTCTTTTCCCTTTATTGCTTCTGGAGCTGTGTATAACGTAGAGCCTACAAAATACAGGATGCATAATGTACTTCGATTATTCATTCAGCATTTATCCTGTTCAACACTTCAAACTTTGTCTCCACACTTCAGTGAGTTAGGGATTATCTTCATTTAGTATAAGAAAACTGAGATACCAAATGTAAGTAGTTTCAAAGGAACTTCTCTCCTACACTTTTACTGAATTATATAGGATTATATACACTATTTTATTGTTTATTTCACTTCTATTAACTAAGCTGGCTTGTACTACACTTTTCTAACACAGTGATTAATGCAAAGAATGTTTTGATATGCCTTGACAGCTTCCAGAGCCAAGCAAATTAAGCAGAACGGTAAACCAACATAATTCTCGTGTGAGTAACAGAAATAATTATGTTACATCAGGTTTCGTTTGGGTTTTTGGGTTTGTTTTGTTTTTTTTGTTTTTTTTTTTTTTTGTGGTTTTTTTTGGGGGGGGGGGGGGATAAAGTTATCCCAAGACATAAACCTTCATGAAATTAGAAAACTTACAACAAGGTAGCTAGCCAACTGGATCACTGAACTAAACTGATTATAGCTATTTTCACACTAAAACACTATGAAAACATCACATATCAAATTATAGCAGCTTATTCACAACCCCCTTTTGTCTTGATATAGAAAAAGAAATATACAGTTCCTATTTCTACAGTAGTTCCCATCTAAACACTAACTCAGTTCTCAAAAAAAAAAAAAATTACACAAATTGAGCAAAAGTGTCAAATTCATAGTCCTTTAAAAAGTTTATTTTGGATTCTTTTGTTCTTGGGTTTTATTTTTTTAAGTGACATAAGTTCATTAACCATACACACCAAAACAGCTGTTCTGAAACGCAACAGGAAAGAGATTAGATTTGTATTTCTTCCTGAATAAAGATCTGTTCTTGGTCTTAGTACTTCCAGTGTGGACTTTCAGTAGGAGACAGCAAAGTATTAAGAAAGCTCTCTTTGTTCCCATAAAGTATTGCCAAGAATTCCATTGTTCCTGGTAACAGTAACTGCTATGACATATCATTATCTTGGAAATAGAGGTTTGTGAGATGCTCTGAGATGATGACTAATAAAAGATTCAGAAGATTAAAACCAAATCTCTTAATTTTTTTTATTCGATGAAAAAATAACATAGTATTTGCAGCCTACTGCATTTGCATGGATCTGCCTGTTGAAACTAAAGCACGAGAACATTCTCATACTTTAGAAAGAAATGATCATAGCTCAATTTTTTCTGAGACAAAGCAGGAATAATTTTAAATCACTTTATCATACTTCCAATATCAGTTATTTCTTCATACTCCAATTACTACTTTATAACCGCAGGACAAAAGGTTCTAAGTGATTCTTTTTGCTCCTTCCTTTAAACTTTTTTTTTTTTTTTTTTTTTAAATACACTGTCCTATAATCAATTAAATACCAGAAATACAATTTCATCAGTTAGGAAAGCCAGTTCTAGTTTGAACTCTGAACTTCCAAAGTTTTAGTGATCTTCTATAGTTTTCCTCAAATAGCAATTAATGATTAAGCCTCCTCAGCAAATCCAAACCAAGAATTAGTATTTTTAATTAGCTACCTTGAAACATTTCAGATCTCATTCATATACTCAATTTGGTTTGGGGGTTTTTTTGTTTGGGATTTTTGGGGGTTTTTAACTCTTGAAATTTGGCTTCTTTTTTTTCTACAAATTAAAGTCAAGAACAGTTTATAAAATAATGAAATCATGCTCAGGATAGACAGACAGTTTGTACATTATACTATACTGCAGGGATTTGATGTCAAGCTGCAAAAAGAAACTTAAAATAAGCCACCTCCACTTATGTTATGTTGGAAGTTTGTTATGCAAGTAGACTACAGTCTGTAATCACCGACATAGGAGCTTCAATCCAAAAAATAACCTGAAGTCTTTTTACAAAAAGCAGGAAAGGTCAGGAATTGTTAATATGTAATACATTTTATGATATTTTATGAAAAATACATATTTTTTCCCAGCTCTTAGTTAAATTGGCTTTGTGAAATTTGTAGAATTATTACCATATACTTGTAAATCAGAAATAGTGTGCCCAGCAGGAGCAGGGAGGTGAGTTTTGGGCCCCACACTACAAGAAAGACATTGAGTTGCTGGGGCATGTCCAGAGAAGGGCAACCAAGTTGGTGAGGGGCCTGGAGCACAAGTCTTATGAGGAGCAGCTGAGGGAACTGGGGCTGTTTAGTCTAGAGAAGAGGAGGCTGAGGGGAGACCTTATCGCTCTCTACAACTACCTGAAGGGAGGTTGTAGTGGGGTGCGTGCTGGTCTCTTCTGTCAGGTGGCTGGAGATAGGACGAGAGGAAATGGCCTCAAGTTGTGGCGAGGGAGGTTTAGGTTGGATATTAGGAAAAATTTCTTTACTGAGAGGGGTGTCAGACATTGGAATGGGCTGCCCAGGGAAGTGGTTGAGTCACCATCCCCGGAGGTATTCAAAAAGCGCATAGAGGAGGTACTTCCTAACATGGTTTAGTGGGCATGGATGATGGTTGGACTCAATGATCTTGAAGGTCTTGTCCAATCTAAATGATTCTGATTCTATAAATACAGTTTCTTTTCTTTCTACTCACTTGCAGGTGGTGTTCCCTCATGATGTCTCTGAACAATCTTCCTTAAGAACTAAATTTTGGGTTTGAGCTTACTTAAATTCCCCACATGCAGGATACATTAAACCTACTTACAGAAAATGTACAGATCATGCTTTCCATTGTGAAGACACAGGCAAACACATTAGTCTTTACAAACGATAACACAACAGAATTAATTATTCAGTTTCTCTAGAAATTTAGTCAGCCCCAACAGAACAATAAACAACTATTTTGTTTCAAGCTCTTCTCTCCAAATTACTTCAAACAAAGGCTTTTTCCAACTTTCATCCTGTCCCTTTGGTGTAAGTTAATTTGGGGTAGTAAAATATCATACCTCGAAATCTATTTTTCAGGTATCTTTGTGGAGTGCTTTCACCAACATCTCCTTCGGCTTCTTCAGATCCAACTAAAGCAAAAAATTCTTCCAAATTTTCACCATCCACTTTAGCCAAGCAAAAATTACTGAATTTCAAAGTGCCAGGCCCTTCCAGCAGAATCTAGAAGAAAAAACAAAATCCAGCATAAGTATCATATACTAAAACTGATGACTGCTGAAATTTCCAACACAAAGTATAAAATAATTTATTAAAAAAAAAAAAAAATCACAATCTCAAACCATTTAAGTGGATAGAGATGATCACTATAAGTGAAAACACTGAAAAGTTTAAGTCAACGCCAATATTGTCTTTTTTTCTTATAACCAAAAAATACAATAGAACCCTTAAGAGGTTTAATGTGTACTTTTGTTTACTCATTATTAAATCTAAATGAACAACAATGTTACTGTACAAAAGAAAGTAAAAGTAGAGTAAAACTTTGTAGGAAAATAAAGGTGTGGTAAAAAGAAACATCACTTCATTTGAGGGGAAAAAAAGTGCAGCTTTCTAATTTTATTTAGAAGAAAACGCCAAAGACTTTGTCCAATGATGATGAGAGTTTTCTCTATGCGGTCACTGCTTATTCTCATAACTAAAAGCTTCATAATCCCAAAAATGTTGTTCAGAGAAATATATCATCCAGTTAAATGGAAAAAAAAGTAAAAAGAGAAAAAGAAGAAAAAAGGAAAAAAGGAAAAAAGCAGTCTTACTTTAACACTCTGTATTTTGTGTTCAAAGGAGTACTTCACAACAACATTCTTCTTTGGAAGAATACAGACTCATCTCCATTATGCTTTATTCATGTATTTTTTTAGTGCTTTTGGACCCACAAATGACAGAAACTGAGTATAATTGTGCAAGATTTTACAGAAAATTCAGAGAAGGGCAACCTGATCACTTATAGATCAAGGTCAAAACCAACTACTGTTAAGCAAGAATTTTTGGTTATAATTATATTCTGGTGACTACATAAATGAAAACCAAACATGGACTTTGACAAAACTATAAACAAATTCCACACATACACAAAATCAGAAACTACATAAAGATTTGTATTTTTATGAAAGAGTAAGACAATTATTGTTTCCAAATGCCATTTAAATAGAGAAGGTTATTAACAAAGAAAGTTTAGTTTAGTTAACTTTACTCTTTCATTAGCATTTTCTATAACTTCATAATATTCTGCAGCATGATAGAATAGGTATAATAACAAAGTTATATGTCTGAGGACAGAGAACTAAAATACTTCATTGATTCAAACCAGTACACTAAATTGAAAAGAATCTATCACATTGTATCAAATATACAACAGGGAAATAAATCAATTAGATCATAAAATGTTCAAGCTACACACTTGTCCCATTATCTTCACACATATTATAAAGCTCAACTGGCCTCCAACCTGAGGTAAGCCTCTTCGAAAAAGTAAAACGGAAATAATGAATTAAATGCTGATGGCATACAAAGTAACATGCAGAGTCCCCTATAAATAATACTCCTTCTTACCTTTCCAGGTGTCAGTTCACAAAAGATAATTCCAAGCTTATGAATATGGTATAAACCAGTAATCAAATCAACACCAAATTCTCTCACTACATCTTCAGGTAGATGTTCATCTTGGGCAATAACAGACTCTAGAGAACCACCTGAAATATGTTTACATATAGTCAGCAAGTGCATATAAAGATGCCATACAAATAATTCCCAAGGACATTATATAAGCTTCTTCAAAAGATGTCAAGCAAAAATCATTATCAGTAGATATTAAAAATATTTATTGAGATTATCTAATATGTAAAATCATCTCTTTCCAATACTGTGACAAAAACCTTAATTTTGACTACCATTAACTTGAGTACATGACTCCAAAATTACTTTAACATTCATTTATTTTACAAAGGAAACAGAAGGGAGAAAAGAAACCCAGAAACTGCGTCACATCACAATGTAATAGTACCCAGTGGGTTTATTCAAATTCCTTAACCAGATCCCTGCTGCATGAGTTAAAAGAATAAACAAAACCAAGAGCAGGCGATCAACTTCTGTGAACAAGTGCTAAAGCTAACGACAGGCAATTTTCCACTGAACTGACAGACAACAGAAATAGTAAAACTGGGTTACATTCTAAGGTCCTGAGGTCAACAATATCCAACAGATAAATTCTTTGGTTTGTTCTTCGCATATAGTGTTACTGTACAGTCCTTTTCTTAACTCATGTGCCCCAGTTCTTTCATCTTCATCCTTTCCTCTCTCTCTTTTTTCTTTTTTTGGGGGGGTAAAGAAAAAAATTCAAAAGCAAACAAACACACACCCAGGACTAAACTTTCACTTTCCAGGTTTCTCACACAAACCCCAGCTTCCTGGCCCAGCAAGTCCTACTCTTATCTCTCTGGACTTCTCATCCTAACATGAGATCTTTCTCTGTCCTTCTGAAATCACCACTCTCTCTCTCTCCACTAAGTTCCAACCAACCCTTCCTCTGTTTCTGACGAGATTACACCTACAAAGCCTTCCGAATAACCCTCACATATATCCTCTCTCACCTGTGTCCCTCTCTGGGCTTCACACTCACTCTCTATGCTTTTCTCCACTGATTGTAACTGCTTCTCTGTCCTCACAAAAATCTCTTTTTCCCCATCACCTACTTCCTCACATCCCACTGATTCTCAGGTATGTCATCAGACTCATCCCATTTGAGCCACTCCTGTCATAAGTGTTCATAGGATTTAGACTTCTCCTATTCTCGTTTCCCACATCCTCTTTGCTCAAACAGTCTTTCTTCCCCTTCCTGTCCCAGTCTCCTATCCTAAACTCCACATTCCCATCTCCCCCAAAATCCCTTTCCTCAACCTTATTTGGTCCTTTACTACTCCTGCACCAAACCTGTTCCCCTGAGACTACAGTTTGTATTTCATTAATTATCTACGGGTTTCCTGTCAACACAGTATTCTTCAAATTATTCAACACTGCTGATTTAAGTTTTCTTTCTGAGTCTTTTTTATGCTGGTTAGGAGATCAGTCTTTCCTTTAAAACCAAGCCCATATTACAGAGCTATAGTAAAGAATTTTCCATCATGTTTGATTACTGTTTTTTATAATGTAATTTAGAGGACTACATATAGAATAATTCCATAATATCACCAAATACACAAAGAAAAATAATAGTGAAACCAGCATCACAGAAGTATGCTGCATCTGATAACAGAAACTATGTCACCTTGAGACAAGTGAGAGAGATCTTCCATATTTCAAAAGCAGTTTTCAAGGCTCTACTAAATTAGTAAGAAATCCATGACTTATTCTATTTATGAGTAAGTTAGCTTCAACACATTCTCCTTGCAGCAAACTGCAATACTGCAAGGTAAAAATACATTATAATTGTTCAAACTGTACTTAATAAAAGGCTGCCTGTCTAGTAACTTAAATGCATGCCCATAAGTTAGACTATGCAAATAGACCAAAGCCTCCATATGAGCCATTAACTTCACTTTTAATCATTGAAAGAATGACCTGATTTTTTTTTCCAGAACTTGTAGCTTCTCTTCTTCAGTAATTTTTGAAAAAGAATTCTGGATAGAAGAAAAGGCTGTGTGTAATATGGACTTTTACTATGAAACAAACTCCAGATACCAAAATCTTAACATGCATGACTTGCACAATTGGCCTTCTTTTCTTTCCATGTGGAGTAAAGCACGCTATCTGCAGTTTAAAACATGCAGTCATCACAATTAGAGAAAGCTTTAAAAGATTTCTTTAATGGATTGACAAGAATCTATCAAAACTCAGTGAATCATTTAATGCAGTTTTAGGTTCTCAGAGCTCCCAAATTAACATATTAACATAAAAGTCAAAATACTTCTACTGAACAGGAAGAAAATTTAAATAATTTACTATTAGCTACAGAATTGCCCTTTGATTAAAAAAATCATTTGAACAATATTAAGTCATTTGTACATTATAACATCATTTACTCCTTGCTCTCTTTATTATTTTGTGCCATAAAATGAAAAGAGAACGCCAAAGCTTCCAGTCCTTAGAAAACTTCAAGTAATTTTTACTTAACTACCCTCCAACTACTCACTGTCTGTTTTTAAGTTCCCCTGATTAGCCCTATCTCTTCAGCTATTAAAAATCAACATTATGTCACATCAATTAACGTTTTACATATACAGTGAAGCAGAGGAGAAATAGGATCTCAGCTGATTTCTAAAAATGTTTCCAAAAGCAAAAATATTTTTATATATAAACAGGATTCTCAAGTTTATAATCAGATAATTACTAAGCTTTTTCAAAGATCTAAGTATTTCTTGTGGAGAAACTGTTCTTACACTCTATTAAGTTTTTACCTTTCGAGCTTACCTTACCTGTGCATAATTCCACTACAAGCCAGAGATGGTTGCTTGTTTCATACCACTCGTGAAATGTCACTATATTCTTGTGTCTGATTTCATGAGTCAGACGAACCTAGAACAAAGTTTTGGTGTTTTGGTGTTTTCTGGGTTTTGTTTTTTTTAAAAAAAGCAATATATATAGACTTAAGGCAGGGGGGTGGGGGGTAAGATACAATGCAACTTTACTCTAGATCAACTAGTTGTTCTCTTATCTTTTCCAGTGCACTAAAATTATTCTCCAATTCAAATATTTTAGTTTTACATGTATGTTGAGAAAAGATAACTTTCCTCACAGACCCTACCCAACTCACCTGTTTTTAAAAATACAGGAAAAAAAAATATAGGAAGTCCCCCAACCCCAAATTCTAAGCACTATTTAACCAATAACAAACTGGAAATCAGAATTTGGAGTCAAACTTGCATTCTACTTTCTTTTTCAATGAGAACACAACTGTGAGACAGTATGGCAAACAGAGTAAAAGGAAGTAAGAAGAAATTTTTCCATCATTCTTAAACTTATCAGGCAAGAGCAATCACTCAAGGGTCCCTGGAAATCTGTATTTCTACTATACCTACATTGCCTGATCTCTACAGAAGCCTCTGTATCTTGTCAAAGTGGTACATAAGGTATCCCTAAGGGCTTTCTAAGAAGAATATGGTTCTAAGAACAAAACATTTAAATTGGGTAGATTCATTTATCACCCAATAAATGATCACTGAAACAATGAGAAGGAATATGAAACTGTATTGGGTTTACGTGGCAAGGTTTTGGTAGCGGGGGGCATACAGGGGTGACTTCTGCGATAAACTGCTAGAAGCTTCCCCTATGTCTGATCCAGCCAATGCCCGCCAGCTCCAAGATGGACCCGCTGCTGGCCAACGCCGAGCCCATCAGTGACAGCGGTAGCGCTGCTAGGATAACAGATTTAAGAAGGGGGGAAAAGCTGCTGCACAACAGCAGCTGAAGAGAGAGAATACGTGAGAGAAACAACCCTGCAGACACCAGGTTCAGTGAAGAAGGAGGGGGAGGAGATGCTCCAGGCACCGGAGCAGAGATTCCCCTGCAGCCCGTGGTGAAGACCATGGTGAGGCAGGCTGTCCCCCTGCAGCCCATAGAGATCGACGGTGGAGCAGATATCCACCTGCAGCCTGTGAATGACCCCACACCGGAGCAGGGGGATGCCCGAAGAAGGCTGTGACCCCAGGGGAAGCCTGCGCTGGAGCAGGCTCCTGGCAGGACCTGTGGCCCCGTGGGGGACCCACACTGGAGCACTTTGTGCCTGAAGGACCGCACCCCATGGAAGGAACCCACGCTGGAGCACTTCATTAGAAACTGCAGCCTGTGGGAAGAACTCACAGAGAAGTTTGTGAAGGACTGTCTCCCATGGAAGGGACTCCACACTGGAGCAGGGGAAGAGTGAGGAGGAAGGAGCAGCAGAGACAATGTGTGATGAACTGACCCCAATCCCCATCCCCCTGCGCTGCTGGGGGGAGGAGGTGGAGAAAATCAGGAGTAAAGTTAAGCCAGGAAGAAGGGAGGGGTGGGGGGAAGGTGTTTTAAAGTATGGGTTTACTTCTCATTACCCTACTCTGATTTGATTGGCAACAAATTAAATTAATTTCCCCAAGTCAGTAATTGGTGAGTGGTATCTCCCTGTCTTTATCTCGACCCACAAGCCTTTTGTTATATTTTCTCTCTTCTGTCCAGTTGAAGAGGGGGGAGTGATAGAGCAGCTTGGTGGGCACCTGGTATCCAGCCAGGGTCATCCCACTATATAAACAGAATCTATGTACTAGAAAAATAAAATATTTAAAGTGTCTAACTGTATCAGTTACAGTTTATATTCTGGCAGGTATTATATGTGTAAAACTTTGCCAAGGTTTTACAAACCAGAATTGATTTACCTTAAATGCTATTCTTTCATAAAAAATATTTTTTCCTTGGTAAGTAATTAATTGATTATTTACTGGAAGATATGACTACCACTGAATTTGCAGAACTAATAAAAAAATAAAGCAAACCATTACATGGTAGTAACTGTTTTTACAAGTTCTCTGAAACATCAAAGAAGGAGTAAGCCTGTAAACATGGGTTTATGCATGTGATTTAAACAATAATAAAATCAGATGAAGAAATAAATACATTAAAATAAGACTCTATTTAAAGTATAAGAATTTAAAATCTTAAGAAGCTGATCTAAATGGTGACAAACTCCATCTAAAGAAGCACATGGTATTTTTCTTTTATATTACCTGTGCTACAAGGATTTTGTAAGCTGTATCTTTTCCCAGATTTAGCAGGAAAAAAACATTACTTACCCAGTTTGTTATTTCAGCTCTTTTGCATTTATCAGTGCAAAGAACGGCAACAAAATTAATTGTCCCCTTTCTTCGTCCTTTATAAACAACTGTCTTACTTCCTCTTCCGATCTCCTCATACAGAATGAAGTTCTCCATATTTAAGGATGCTTTACAGGCAATGGATCGGAAACATGGTATTAGTCTTGTAAACAAATAAACCTTTAAAGAAACGAGGAGGAGGGGGAAGCATTCAAATTTAATAGTCATTGACATATAGTATTTACCCTCCCAATTCTCAAAAACAGGGATTATCTACTTCCAGCAAGATCAAACATAATTACTTTACAGAAGGCCTCCTCTCATGAAATGTGATTAAAATTTTGAACAGGTGATAGAATTTTCCACTTCCAAAGCTCTTAACACATTCAAAAAGTTACAGGTGGGCCAGTAGCTACAAATTCTAAATATTTTATCTGTGAATAATCATACTACCAAACTTAAAATTGCATGTCCTACATAAAACTGCTGTCCAAATGAAAATATTCTATACTGAAAGCCTTGCCAAATAAGATTGCCATTTCTGCCCAAGGGCACTTCAGGCAAATGTGTCCCTGCAACATTTCACAATATAATTTAAACCTGCCAAATAACTGATTTAATCAACGTAACTGAAAAACACAGGACTCTGTGAATATTAGCATTCCTACCAATGCTAAGCTGAATGTAGCTCTACCAGGACTCAGTGTTCTTCATGGATAGAAGCAATTCCTTGCAGATAAAAGCTGTGTAAATTCATTGGCAAATGTTGCATTGCGGGCACCAGGCAGTGCCACAAGAATTCAATTTATATTTGTAACTATCTTCGTCTCAAGAATTCTATATGCTTTAATTTACGTACTGAAACAAATGAAATATTTGCCATTTGTTGCAAAGCCAGCGAGTGGCATTTGTATATTTAAATAGTTAAATGCTTTTCATAAAAGTCTGTTTGATTCTTTTGTTCCATAATTATTTTCTCTGAGAATCTTGGAGCAATGGGAGAACTGATAGCAAAACATTGAAGCAACTATAATACGAGTTCTGCATCAGCTTTCCATCCGTCTCCTCGGCTATTCCACTGGGTTAAGGAGAGACACACAGAATCCCAATACCGGTATATTCCGGAAACAGGGTATACTGCTAACTAGTCCTCAGTGACCACCTTGTAATAAGTTCTTCCAGCTTCAGGACAGCTTCACATTCAATGCCCAGTTCTTCCAATTTAATTAGTTCTAAGACATTTGGAGTTGCTCTTTCTCAACTCTACATGACTTACTCAATTTCGTTTATAAAACTGTTGTTTTTTCTTCAACAAGACCAGTTCCCAATGTAATTATCCTAAAACCACAGAAAAGCAGCATACTGGAGAGGGTAGTGCAGCAATAGGAATGATAAGCAAGGATGGAGAGGAAGGGCTGCTTAAGTAGCATAGCTGCCAAATGCCTGATCACAAACCACAAACTCAATTTCACTTTAACTCTTTCATGAGACACAAAGCTCCCTGAGTGACAAATCAAAGACCGAAATGAAGACCAGGGAATCCCCACATTTTCAGACCAGACTTCAAATGAAAATACAACAAAGCATTGGGCAGCACCAGACAACAAAATGCCTGTCACTAAAATACTGGTTCTTGCCAGAACACCAGCCAGGTGCCCAGATGATCCAGAAATTAGAACATGTCTAGGAACTTCATGATTCCAGAATTTCCTTTACCGAAGATAGTTACCCAAGACAGACATTTTCTCCCCAAAAGAAGAAAGAATCTCACCATCACAATTCAAAAGCTTTCAGATTAATACTGTAAGCTAGTTTGATTTTATCTAGCACTAAGCAAACAGCTAGGTATGGCCAATATAACGTAGGAAGACTTTTTTTTCTACAGTTATCTATGAGAACAAAGTAATTATACAATTATCAGTGTGCCAAACACCCCAAAATAAGGCACACAGATATAGCATCAAAACAAGATGGGGGTCTCCATTTCCCTAGCTCTCTTTTCTGATTCATGCAGATCACACCATTCCTTATGTTCTTTTTCTGGACAGCTGTCATGGTTTAACCCCAGCCAGCAACTAAGCACCACACAGCCACTCAAGCACTTCCTCCCTACCCAGTGGGATGGGGGAGACAATCCGGGAAAAAAAGTAAAACTCACGGGTTGAGATAAGAACAGTTTAATAGAACAGAAAAGGAGAAACTAATAATGATGATGGTAACACTAATACAATGACAAAAGTAATAATAAAAGGATTGGAATACGCAAGTGATGCACAATGCAATTGCTCCCCACCCACCAACCGACACCCAGTTAGTCCCCAAGCAGTGATCTCCCCACTCCCCCCAGTTTATATACCAGACATGACATCACATGGTATGGAATACCCCGCTGGCCACTTTGGGTCAGCTGCCCTGGCTGTGTCCCCTCCCAATTTCTTGTGCCCAGCCAGCAAGAAGGCTGGAGGGGGACAAGAAGCTGAAAAATCCTTGACTTAGTCTAAACACTACTTAGCGACAACTGAAAACATCAGTGTGTTATCAACATTCTTCTCATACCGAACTCAAAAACATAGCACTATACCAGCTACTAGGAAGACAATTAACTCTATCCCAGCTGAAACCAGGACAACAGCTTAAAACAAAAACCAACCAAAAAACTCATAATGTCCTCCCCTACTACACAAAGATTCCAGAACAGCAATGCTATAGAAATGTATCCAGCAAAAGAAATGTCCAATCTACAGCCCAAGCCCAAAATTCACACAACCACAGCCCCTTTTCTGTACTTCTTTCCCAAGAATACTTCAAACCTGACATGTGCACCTCATCACAAGACTGAAACATATACACATTAGAGAGATGGAAAATACTTTTATGTTGGTCATATGAAAGGCATTATCATCCACTCATGCAACAAACCATACAAATGTAGGCCGGGCTCAATGACAAGTACAGAAATATCTGGTTATCTGGCAAAAGCAAAACCAATGACACACAAATGCACACTGGGACAGAGTAGTCATAGTCAGGGGAAAGGGAAGCCTTCATTGCTACTCATGACTGGCAGTACTTGCAAATAAGGTCTCCATTAGCTGCTCTGCAAGAGGCTACAGGGAAAAGAGAAGCATCTAGTCTTGCATCCCTGAACCTCAAGAGTAACGGCTATGCCATGGTTTTGGTACACAAACCAATGGAGCATGGCACAAGACAGACTTTCAACAGCTAGAATACATTCATTAGTTTTGACATAAAGTACAAAGAGGTCAAATAAAGCGACACAAGAAGTGAAAAGAAGTATCTCAAGGCAAGATGTAAGCCTGCCACACTACCACCTGCAACGACAGAAGCACCCAAAGCAGCAGACTCCAGTTACCGAGGAAACGGCATTTGCTCTGGGCAGGATGCAGGACCAGGACACCAAGGAGACATGGTTCCCTCTCTTGGTGAAAGAATGGCCAAAAACACTCTGAAACGAGCAGCACCTGCACGACCTGAGACCTCCTGCCGTCAAAGCTCTGTCAAGAGCAGGTAGCCCGGCAGGCCCGAGGGCTCTGTACCGCAACCCCTGGGACACAGCCGCCTCCCGGCCCACCTGCAGCAGAGGTGAGGATGCCATGAGGAAGCCCATCCCCCGGCCGAGTCTTCCGCCCCCCAGGAGACCTTCGTTCGAGGCTCCCCTCAGACCTAGGGACAGACTACGGCCGCGGGCGAGTGACCAGGGCGGGAGCCGGAAGACGGTGAGGGGGCGACGGCCTGCGCGCGCCCCCCCAGAGGGGGCGGGGGAGCCCGCCTCGCGCGCCGCCGGGAGCCGTTAGGCACGTGCATGCCCCGCTAACGGCCGTTAGCCGTCCGCGGGGAGAGGGGGGAACGGATGGGAAGCAACAGCCGTACCTGTGAGGCGGGGGAGAGGGGGTGGGTGGGTGGACAAAGACGCAGCGTTACTATCGCCCCGCCGCCGCCATCAACCGAAATCGGCGGAGCCCCGCCCCCGGCCGGAGTCTCCCATACCCCTACGGGAAGGAGGGGGGGGTCGGAAGTGTCCCGACGGGAAAGTCGTCCCTGCACGCCACAAAATACAGCCAGCGGGAGCGATAGCAGCACAATAGTCAGAGTAACTCCGGGAACTGGGTTTTTTCCCCCTTCCTCTAGCAAGAACACACCGCCCGGTGCCACCCGGGTCCGTCCCCTCTCCCCCCCACGCACTGCTCGGATGGTCGCCACCGCGCGCCCGTATCCAGGAGACGGAGCCAGACGCCGGAAAGAGAGCAGAGTCGCCATTGGTCCAGGAGGCGCCAACGTCAGAGCGGGTGCCTCGGCCGGAGTGCGGTTCCCGGATGCTGCGGGAGGGGCGGGGCGGTCCCTCCGGGAGGGGGGCGGTGCCTCGCTGGGGAAGGGGGTGGGGAGAGGGCAGCACGTGCCGGAGAGGGTGGGGCGTCAGGGGCGCAGGCGCCCGTTTGCCAGGCAATCGTCAGTGCCGCGCTAACAGTGGGGGAGGCCGAGGCGCGGCGGTCATAATGGCCTCTGGGGCCCGGGCCTTGCTGAGGGTAGGCCAGTGCCCCGAGCGGGCTCCAGCAGCGCCCGCCGCTTCGAGCCTGGGTTGTTGGGGCTTTTAAATTAAACCTCCGTAGGTCAAAACAGCAGGTAGCTGTCGTCAGTCCCGTTAACAGTGATTTGTAAACACCTCATTGAGGGGCACTTTGTTATGACAAAAATCAGCTCTTGAAACAACTGTTTTCCATTTTTAGCACTGGAGTTTTCACTTTATTTTTCATTCTAGGGTGGTCTGGTTTTGGGTTTTTTTGTTCCGCTGGTTTTGTTTTTCTAAGGCCCTTGAAAATGTCAAATAAGTATCCTTTTCTCTTGCATGACAAAACATTTAACAAGATTTGGTCTGTCTTTCTAGAGAAAGTTGTAAAGAATTATGTTTTGTCAGTTGTCCCACCTTCATCTTGACTCCCTAACAGTTTTGAACCCGTTGATCCGTTTCAACTGGATCTGATAAAAGAAGTAGTATACTTGAAGGATTCAATATTTCTTTAGGCTGTATGATAACAGGGTCAGGTTTTTTACCCCCACTGTAGGAAAGATTTCAGTCTGAATTTAAACCCCCCTAATAC